TCTACACTTAGAGCTTATTGGAGAAGTCAGTGATCCCAGCCAGTTGTCTTCCCTTAGTAGAAAAACTTTTAAAATGTCCTTAGTTGTTCCCCATAGCTCAGCTTGCAAAGGCACAAGTAAAATACCTCCTTTAGTTTTTGCAGTGAGCCTGTTGCAGTACAAGTCTGTGTAAATGCCATTAACCTGAACCACTCTTTTTTTTTTTACATGTGTGGAAAAGGGGACAGACTAAAACCCCCTTCTGACCAAACTCTGTAGCAGATGGTAATTGTGCACTTGGGCATCTTCAGAGAGGCTCTTCTGGAACAGCCTCAGCTTGGGAAGCACAATCTGGAGCATAGGAATGGAGTTTGCAGTGCATGGCCTGGCTCCCATAAAAATACTGAAGGCCAGAGCCAAAGGCCTCCACCCAAATACCTGAGACGTTACTAATTTGATAAGAGGCCTTTTCCTGTTTTTTACTGGGCAGTTTCTCAAGCTCCCTGCGCTCTGCTCTCCCAGAGAGCAGTTTAGTGGCACAGGACGAGTCTGTGAAGCAAAACAAAGGTGCAGTTGCAGCACAGGTAGGTGAAACCACTCGAGAATGGAGAGTCAGGGCAGGGAGTGTGTGGGAAATGGGCTGGCAACCAGCCTGCACTCACAGCTGGGTGAGTGCTTGGCAGGAACTGCAGGGAAGCATTTGCTTATGACAAAATATATGCTGGAGCCTCAAATAATGTTGAATGGCCTGGAAAAAATTGCTAGGACTGGGTCCTGAGCAGGACAGATAAACACAGCAAATCAGGACTGTGTCCCTCACACAGGGGTGTGTCCTGGAGAGTCACACAGAAAACCTGGAAACACGTTTTTCCTCCTGCTGCTGTATCTGTCAAAGCAAATGTGCCTGTTGGGGTTTTTTCCTGACTTACAGACACTGCTGGGGGGTGGCACTGGACACTGGCACTTAGGATGACTGATGCAGTTCCCTTGTCCACTTCTCTCACAAGCAAGTCCGAGTCGGGCCCTCAGAGCTCTCACAGCCACCTTTCCTGACTCACAGTTGTCTGGGACTTGCTCCTGTCACTGAGCTTTGTATTTTGGGGAGAGAGGTTGGAAGGTCTTTATTTTACACTGATGTATTTCACAAGTGGTTCCTTCACTACACACTTTCAGCTGGTGACAATTATTTTTCCTCTGAGTCCCAATAGGTTTTGAGTAGACCCTGAATTAAAAAGATGAGGAAATCACCGCTGCAAAATTGAAGTTTCAAAAATTAATGTTTTTGCAAAGAGGAAAAATAAATGTGTGTGCCCTTTGGGTGGTCTTCTCAGCATTCCTGGCCCTGACACAGGAAATATTTCCCAAGCCCCCATCCTGTCTTTTCCAGGAATCTTTGCCAGACTGCATGAAACTTCTGAAACCAAGGCAGTAACAGCGTGGCACTAGAGAACTCCTTCATACTGTATTTTATTGAAAGCACACAATGCCCAGGTGACACATCCTGAGTACACAGGGAAAGGGAGTAAATTAAGGGGAGTTATGTGGGGTTTATGGTGCTTGTGCCGGGAGTGGGGAGGGAATAAAGTTGCCAAGCTGTGGCTGTGCAGGAGCCTGCAGGTATGAGCTGCTGCCTGGGCTCCTGGTTGGGTCTGGGCACCACAACTGCTGCCTGGAACACCCTGTGAGGGGACAGGGACACGGCACCACCAGGGTTCTGCTGGGGTGCAGAAAAGGCGTGTCATGTTTAACTAAACTCCCCAGACAGTTCTGATTAACAAATATCCCAGTCAGAGTTCAGGCACAGCTGATGATGGACACGTTGATCTTGGTGTCTGAAGACCCACTGGTTTTAATGCTCCTCTTTCTCTTGGCCAGACATCTTGCATGTTTAAAGGGTTGTTCCTGACTGATGTTTCTCAGCTAAGCTGTTGGGGAATTCACCTGCCTGCAACCTTAGTTCGGGGGAAAAAAAGCAACAACCCAGGGAAGATTTTAATCCTACAGTCAAGCTGTGAGTATGCATTTACTGATGTACCTTTAGAGGACAGTCTGCCTGTTTTCATGGTTAACATGTCTGTCCCAGCACAGAATGTTACTGGTGCAAAAAATAATGCTCTGAGAACTGCTGCACTGACCTAGAGCAAACAAAAAATGGCTGTGGCTGAGGAACCCCTAATGACAACTGAATTCAGTAACTCTGGGACAGCCAAGAGAGATCCCACGCCAGTGGAACCACTCCTGGTTCAACTGGTAAGGGTTTTTACTGCCATCTACTGTACAGATGCTTCAAGCCAGAGGGGAATAAAAATTCTGTGTCTTCCTTCTCAGATGAATGCAATTGCTTCTGAAAAGAGAGAGGGAGAAAGCACAGCTCAGTTTCTCCCTAACGTTCCCTTTATTTATCTTCTTTTCAAATTCTGTGTTGAACATTCCCTTTATTTATCTTCTTTTCAAATTTAGAAAGATTTTTAAATCTTTCCTGTGCTTAGAGTAGAAACATCAGGTTTGATCAAGAGAATCGTTATCCTTTTATCTTTGCGTTTTCCATCAACATAAATTGCTCACATATCTATCTATATAGATAGTATTTTTAATTGCTGCTTTCCTATTTTTCTTCTTTTTATCTGGTACAAATATAAATTACACTCCTTTTTAGCAATTTTAGCTTTTGTCTGTTAATTCTATTTCACTAGATTCAACATTTTTAGATCCAAAAGTTACAACCTTTAATTATTGGAATCCAGCTGGAATAATGGGAATCCATTGGATTAATGAAACATTTCACTGTTTTGCAATAAATCCAAACAAAGGAAAGGAGCTTCTTTACACTGTTACTTTCTACACTTTCGAAAGCCCCTTCCTACACACTCAAGCCTCAGTCTGGGTCTGTGGCAGTTCCAAATGGTATTTAATAGGATAACAGAGTAGAGCTGGGCTCATGACTTATGGACAGTGACAGAAGTAAAATGTTGTCTTTTTTGTTAAATTAGAATTGGATTAGCCTAGTGCTCACCACCCTCATTTTCTACTGCTATCAGTGGGAGTAGGAAACCCTCAAAACCTCGTAAGCCTGATAACTCGAAGTTAGCAAAACCAGCAGCTTAGAGGAAGAGACAACAGATAACTGCAGAACATGTTGTGCTTCTGGAATTAACACAAAGCTCTTCATTAAGGCAATCAGAGGAAAATGGCAAGCTCTGTTTCAGGCCCATTCAAAAGTGTGATGCCAAAGAGCGTTCCTGCTGAGCAGATTAATACAAGAATGCAGAGAATCCTGCTGCAAAACGCTTCCAGAGACACTTTAACACAGTGAAAATGAGTTACAAGAAAGTAAATACAGCGTCGTGTACCAGTTGGTTATGAAGCTGTACTGTGATAAGCAATGGAGTTTTATTGAGAAAAGACTAATGAGCAATAAGTGCCTGCAGTGAAAAGGGTAACATCTGGTCTGCATTCGACTTCACACATGAGAGCTGTTTGGCCTGACTTCCTGCCAAATCCCACAGCGTTTGCGATCATGGGACATGAAGAAGATGGAAATCCCTGGGTTAGCACCTCAAAACACTGAGCCACACTTGTGAGCACAAGAGGGGAGTCTGTCCCTTCAGAGCTCTGCATGTGCCTGCTGTGCCACGGGCACTGCCCTAGGCTGAGACTTGACACGAAAGCACTAGAAGATTCAACGTTCGCAAGCAATTCCTGACTAATCAAGATCAAATATGCTCATCTTGCAGGTAAAAGCTTTTATTTGTGCTCTAAAAACACTTCTTTTCTAGGAGTAAGGCTTTGGTTAGGATTCAGAGGGATTTGACTCACTAAATACTGCCTGTGACTGCATGTGGACACAGGGGTGGCTTTTGGTGGTTAAATAAAGGAACCAGCTGTAAATCCCCTGTGCTGGTGAGGCCACATCTCCAGGGCTGTGTCCAGCTCTGGGCCCCTCATGACAAGAAGGACATTGAGGCAGAGCATGTCCAGAGAAGGGAATGGAGCTGGGAAGGGTCTGGAGCAGCAGGAGCAGCTGAGGGAGCTGGGGGGGCTCATTCTGGAGAAAAGGAGGCTCAGGGGGGACCTTCTGGCTCTGCAATCCCTGACAGGAGGGGGGAGCCGGGGGGGTCAGGCTCTGCTCCCAGGGAACAGGGACAGGAGGAGAGGGAACGGC